CGCCGTCTCCAAAACAAAACCCGCAACCGGGAGGAAAAAGGGACCCGGTCAGCAAAATCCCGGCTCCTTGCGGCGGGCAAGGTGGGTCCCGCGGTGGGACCCCCGCCTCCGGGGGACGGGCGGGAGCGCCCTAAAACCGGAGCCCGGCAGCTGGAGCGGCCGCCTCTTCCCTCTGGCCACGGCTTAAAATTAATGGCTCCTCCGCTGCCAGCGTTTTAACGCAGCGCCCAGCCCCTCTCCCCAGCTACAGGCTGCACCTTCACCGGGGGACACCGATAACTACAGCACAAATACACCGGGGGACACACAGGCAGTGCGGGGTGGGTGCTCTGGGTGGTCCCGGTCCCGGTTCCACTTCCACCCGTGGACCATTTATGTAGTGGAGCATTATTTTAAACGGCCAAAGGGAGGGAAATCAAGAGGTTCCTGCACTTCAAGAGAAGCGTGGCCAGCAGGTCACAGGAGGTGACTCTGCCCCTCTGCTCTGCACTCCTAAGACCCCACCTGCAGTACTGTGTCCAGCTTTGGAGTCCTCAACACAGGAAGGACATGGATCTGCTGGAACGGATCCAGCTGAGGGCCACGAAGATGATCAGAGGGATGGAGCACCTCCCCTATGAGGACAGGCTGAGAGAGCTGGGGTTGTTCAGCCTGGAGAGGGCTCCAGGGAGACCTTATAGCGGCCTTTCAGTATCTGAAGGGAGCCTGCAGGAGAGCCAGAGAGGGATTTTGTCAGGAAGTGTGGTGACAGGACAAGGGGCAATGGTGTTACATTACAGAATCACAGAATTGTAGTGGTTGGAAGGGACCTCAGAGATCATCGAGTCCAACCACACACACACAAAAAAAACAAACAAACACCACCACCCACCCCCTAAACACACAACAACAACCAAACCAAAAACCATCACCCACCCACACAACATCCCACCACAAACCAACAATCTCAGGCACTAGAGCATGCCCTGAAGAACCATGTCTACACGTTTCTTAAATACCTCCAGGGATGGTGACTCCACCATCTCCCTGGGCAGTCCATTCCAATGCTGGATAACCCTTTCAGTAAAGAAATGTTTCCTAATATCCAACCTGAACTTCCCCTGGCACAACTTGAAGCCATTACCCCTTGTCCTATCGTCTGTAGCTTGGAAGAAGAGACCGACCCCTGTCTCTCTACAGCTTCCTTTCAGGTACTTGTACAGAGTGATAAGGTCTCCCCTCAGTCTCCTCTTCCCCAGACTGAACAACCCCAGCTCCCTCAGCCTCTCCTCGTAAGACTTGTGCTCCAGACCCCTCATTAGAAGAGAGGAGATTTAGATTTTAGATATGAGGAAGAAATTCTTTCCCGTGAGAGTGGTGAGACACTGGAACAGGTTTCCCAGAAACACTGTGGCTGCCCCATCCCTGGAAGGGTTCAAGACCAGGCTGGATGGGGCTTTGAGCAACCTACTCTAGTGGGAGGTGTCCCTCTAGGTGGCAGGGGGGTTGGAACTTGATGATCTCTAAGGTCCCTTCCAACCTGAACCATTCTGTGATTCTGCAACCACTGGTTTGCACAAGCAGAACTTAGGCCAGACCCGAATATTTTAGCAGATAGGATGAGGTTACAATGAGCCGTTCATCAGGACCACTATAGATGAGGAAGGACTTGCAGAAGGAAAAAGAAAAGAAAACCTCCCCTGGGTTGAGCGATGGGGAAGATGACAATGGGAAAAAGGAAAAGAGAGAGCTTCAAGCAGTCAGCGACCAACCCCGAGCAGCAAAAGCGAGGAGGAGGTGGGAATTCTGCAGCTTGAAGGGCAGCAGCAGGAAACCCTCTTCAAGGAGAGGATACAGAGACCAGTACAGACTCTCCATTTACTGACATTTAAATAAATGTGAATTATTTTTTTAATTAATTCAATGTTTAATTACACAATTTAATTGATATGTAATTATTTGAATATTTATATTTATAAAGGACATGCCACCTTTAAAGGGTACACCCTGAAGAGCTCTGTTGTGAGTATGGTGAGAAAGACCCAGAGATGCTGGTCTTGTGTCTGACAAATGCTTTGAGAAAAGCAACACAAAGGCGTTAACAGAGGTTATTTATTAAATAAATGAAACCAAAGAGAAAGTTCACCCACCCAGAAGAGCACAGGCACAAGAGCTGCTCAAGTACACTGCAGAAGCAGAAAGCCACTGTAGTCTTCGTTTACGATTTTAAGGTAACTGTGCTTATCTGTATACCACAGTGTGACCTGTTTCGCAGAAAAATTCATCACTCAGGAGAATGTGCAATTTTCAATATATCCCCTTAATAACAATTGAAAGAAGCTATTACTTTAAAAGATTACAGAGCAGGGCATGCTGGAGTAACACAAAGAATGCCTCTGAATTTCAACATTACCATACATAAATGGAACAAAACCTCTCTAATCAGCACAGTTAAATAACTGAGAAGAACTGGGGGGGACAATGCACACTTTCACTAGCATTTAGCCATTTAAACCCAATAACTGATATGCAAAATTCAAATCCAAAAGAAACAGGAGCTTGTTAGTTGTTGGATTACTGAATTGTACTTCTAATTAATTCCAAAAGATTTAAGTTTAAGACCTCAACTAGAACAAAATCTAGAAAATTGTTTAGGGTGCAGATTTAATTTTTATCTTCAAGGAACATAGTTTGCAGGTTTCTACTTCTGTGCCTCTGACATGGAAGAAGTGTCTGGGAACACAGAGTGCAAAACCGAGATCTTAAGATCAAAATTTAACAGCTTAAATGCTTCCTTGCATAAACATTGTCTACTTTTGAATTAAAAAATCCCCACTTCCTGGTTCTTCTAGGAAACCAGAACTACCACTAGTTTATCACAATTCATAAACGGATAACAGACATCACCACGTTTCCCTCAGAGTTCTTAGCAAACTATTAGGAGAACCTGCCTCTCCCAGAACTGCGTGTAGGGTAATGTGCACAAGCTGTTTTACTTTATGTTTCTCTCTCTAGTGCAGCAGCACCAGTTCTGCTATGATAGTCTAACTGGACAACTCCACGTATTTGTATTTTCATGCATTTTCCTCAGTTCCCTTTTTGTACACTATTAACCTTTGCTGCACAGTTTAAAAAAAAAAATATTATCTTCCACACTATCCTCTGCCTGTGCACACAGAGTTCCTACCTGACTGCAATTGTCTAATGCTTCCCCCCAAATATTCCTCATTCTTGAAAGCAGAGTTGGTGATCTAAAAACTTCATTTCACAATTATAAATGGTGTGGATAGGTGGAATGTAAAAGCATTTGGTTCGTTAAGTTATCTAGTTAAGGAATATTCAGTGTAAAAGAAATAAGTAACATTATGAACAATGATAAAGGAGAATAATGAAGACCAGAAGGGTTCAGCCAATGATTGATCAGCCATTAAAGGAACTGCTCTGGTATAGCCATAAAGAGGGTCAACCTGAACTCTGATCAATGAACAGGGAAAAAACACAATCATTATCTGAAGGGGCTTAAAGGAAAGGGACAGCAACACTTATTACAGCAGCCAGAAGAGACAATAATCAGGGTGAATAGAGAGGAACAAGTGTGGGAACAGGCAGAGGATGGGGAGGGGCTGCTGGTCCAGTGCACCTGTAGAGCTGAGCACCTGTTCACAGCAGTCCATCTATTTCCTTATAAAGCATCTTCTTAATGTAAACCATACAGAAAAAATGAAGACATCTATAAGATGTATTGCTTTAATACTGTAAATTCATAGATCAAAAAAATTACCACTTTAGATATCCCCATAAGAACATTTTTGTTCCATTTGCACACATCTAATTGAATTCTACTCAGCTGAGATTCAGGACCTAATCTCTAATAATTACTACAGTCTGCACCACCAGTGATGGTATGATTAGTACATTTAAAAAAAAAAAAAAATTGGCCACAGCCATTTTTATATGAAAGGAAACTGTTTCCATCCATCATTTGTAGTCAGACAAATGGCACCAAATGTATTGTAAAGGCTAAAAACATATTCAGTGTTCACCTTTAAAAATTATAGAGAGAAAGGTAAATCCTATGCAAAATCATGCAATCTTTCCACATCATGGCTCGTATCAACCACACTAAGCATTTAAATACTTTCAATTAACATTGGAGTGCATATTTCCTCTGTCATTTCTGAAGCGCTGGTTTCTCAGTTACCATTCTCTGTTTTTATCAGTTCTTTGATGATATGCAAGACCTTGTCATCTAGGAAAGAAAACAAACAGTGAGTTAAAAAGAACAAACTTAAAAATTGGTTCTCAAAACCCAAGAAAATCAGAAGTTTAGCTCTCAGCAACTTAATGCTTTAGGCTATGCCAGACTCTAAAACAAGACAAGTTATTCCCATTTGCGAAGCAAAAGGGCAAACAGTATGTCCACAGCACATCATTAGAAAGTTTATGAAATCACTCAATCAACTGGTTGTGGCCGTTTCAGTATTTCATAAAAGAAACTGAGAAAGTGATGGGTTAACTACAGATACATTTGCATATGGGAACTCCCTTTCTTCCTCCCCATCTACAATATTCTTCTGAACAACCAGTGTTCAAAGCTTAAATTGTGCTCCTTTATCCCTTACTTTGGGGGGAAACTTCTGTTCCCATCCTTAACCTAAATTGCAAGACAACCTGCGTAACACTTAAAATTCATCCATGTCTGAGGTTCATCACACACAATCTCAATTCTGTTTTGAGAGGCACCCCTCACCACTACCTTCAATGTTGTTATCAGGGGTATCTTTCGAACGGCAGTTGTGGAGATCCTCACACGCCTGGGGTGAGCCACGTACTCTATGTAGGATTAGTAATGACTTTTTGGATGTCTCTCAAGGTAATGGAATGACATTCAAGTCACACTAACCCACCTGGGTAAGGATACAGTGTACTAATGCTTCCTCAGATTTGCCACAAGGTGCACTTAATAAGCAGGTGTTAGTAATGCAGTAATAAAGTTACCTTCAAGTGACATTTTAGGATTTTCAAGCTTCTTCTTTAAAACAGACTCAATGAGAACTCTCAGCTGCTTGAAAATAACCGCTATCTTTACAGGAGCCTATGAAGAACAGAGAAGGCCAACACTTGCAATATTCAGACACTTTATACCAAAATACAGATTAAAAGATTACCTTACATATAAATAGAAGTTTATAACAGGACTTCTAGAAACATGATGCATCTACATAATTCTAAGCATATGGATAGTGTACTTATGAAGTGACTGGGCTTACATTATGCCCTCTTGTCTTTAAGCATCACAGCCTAAAGAACAGCAGCTCAGAAGGGTAACCCAGAATATGTTCCCACACGGATCATCAACAACCAGCATATAGTGGAATTATTAATTTACCCATATCCTACTTTAATTGCTTTTTTCCAAGGTATAAAAGTACATATTAATTTATACCTGAAATAAAATATCTACACATCTCCTCCAGATCTCAGGAGGTCTGCCTGGCTTCCTGAGAAGGCAATCACAAATCTCTGTAGGAATGTGGATATTTAAAGCTGAAACCTTTTCCTGGAATCCTTCATTTTATCCCTCCCTCTCTATTCCCATCTTTATTTCATTTATATACATACTGCCTGTGGTACAATAAGTACCTACCATGGAAAAAGCACAGAATGCATCATATTGTGCTTAGCACCTCAGTACAAACACAGAAATTCTGAAATCCACTACAAGATGTAATTCGCTCAGCAACTGCACAACCTGTAGCCACCCAGAGACCACAATAAACTCTCCAACAAACCCAAACGGGAGCTGCTTTTTAAAATTCCATATTCATGATAACCAGTAAATTCAATCAGATGGTTGCTTGCTTGCATCAGCAAAGTGCAAAAAACTAAGACGTTCTGTAGCTTTTAGTCTTCCTGGAGTTAACAAAGGGCACACAGGAGCACATAAAATTGTAACTGAGTAGTTGGTAGGCTAGCAAATACCAAAGTTTGCTATTTAGCAGAATTTACAGATGATTTTGGCATGTCACCCATTTTAATTGTGTCTGCAAAAGTATGCTAAGAAAATGCACTCAGGTTTTCCCATTCCCAAATAAAACATTTCCACCTGGAGAGAAAAATCCCAAACAAAAAGCCAAAACACCCCAAAACCAAGCAAACAAGTATTTTCCTTTTGGATTTTTTTCTTGCCCCAAATAATTTTGTTTGGGCTATAAAGCAACATAAATAGTACTTTAGAGATAAATATGTACTTACATGATTGTAAGATTGTAGAAAAGGGTAATAGAAAATTGCACACTCATCTGCTTTCAGTACCAGCTCCATAAAACAAGGTTTAGTCTAGATCTATTTCAAATATCTTTTTTGAAAGAACACTGACTTTCTTCATGCAGAGAGAAGGAACTGATTTGTATCAAGCTGCATACTACAAGCCTACTCTTTCGAGTGCGATTTGCTAAGCCTTCATTACATGCATACAAAGTTTCTCACTAGTTCCTTTAATTCTCTTTCTTCCCTCTTGTTTTTGTACCACATATACAGTGTCCTGAATTAAGCTTGAACATCAACTGCAAAATACAAAAGCCCATGGAACCACAAAAGGTAGTTACTACTCCAACACACCTGAAAATGGATCCAGCCATCAACTGTTAGGAGGCGCTCCCGATGCTGGACTTCTATATCCCCACCAAAAAGCAAAATAGGGAAGGGGGATATCAAAGTAGTCTCTCTCAAATACACCTTACTGTACCTCACCTGCATAAAACAAACATAACCATTAACAGCAACAGAAAAAACCCCGAACCACATAAAAATCTCATACATCAAATTTGATTGCTACTTTTAAAAACAAAAAATGCACTTTTTTTTTTCCTTTTAAGATCGAGGCACACAAAACAATTGTACACAGAACAATTGATGGCAATTTGTCTGCCCTAGACCACATAAAATACATCACTTCTAAGTAAGCGACAGGCTTATACACTACTAGGACATCAGCTAAAGCCACAATTTTCTTGTTAAAATTCAAACAGCCACTTAATGTTAGCCTGGTACTGGTCAGAGAAGAGACATTACTAAACCTACTGAAGGAGAATACAGGTAAAACTCTTCCGTTACACATTCTTCTTAGCAGCAGCTGGCCTGTCAATCTATCCACACATGTACATTCATACGTGGGTAACTATGGGCACACGTGTAGACACACACACAGAGTAACCTACAGGGTTCAGCACATGCTACTTCTGGCTTTGGAGCCTCACACAGATAAGGACAGAAGGGAATGGGAAGGAGTTGTGGTGCAAGGAAAGGAAACAAAAGTGCATCTTCACCCAGAAGTGCAGGCTTGCTTTTTTCCACTGTTCATGGAATAATTTCCCTATCTTAGCTGCTGTCTTGACTTAACACTACAAGGTTCTTGGGGACAGGAAGTACTTTCAGGTCTCCAAAAAATACTATCACTTCATTTGCATTAAGAAGTCTAATTAATATCCTGCTTCTCTCCGTAAAGTTGGCTTTTACGCTACAGCTGTCAAGGTTTTGTTGTACCAGAAGTGTAAGTAAATATAAACACTTGAATTTAGCAAGTAGCTGACAAAATTTTCTGCTGTGAGAGGGAAGTGCCAGGAAAAAGGAAATGCAATTCACTTAGGAAGCTCAGCACTCAATTACAGAATTGACTATTTCATTTGAAGTTATTATTGGGGATATGTGAGGCCCATACCACGTTTCAAAACCTTAGTCTGCTTAGAACAGTAAAAAAGAAAAAGCACAATTTGAAGTATTACATATTACTGCTTAAAGTGATCATATTAAAACCAACAGCACTGTATTAAAGAAGTAAATGATACTATTAAATTAAATGACACACAAAGGTACTTCCATTTATAGCTGAGTTTCACCATTAAAAGATTTATTCACAATGTTTAGCCTTAACTTCTTTTACTTCAGCACTCATTTGACTCATTTTTATGGACTCCAAGATCATTAGATAACAAAGAGTCTTAAGATGAAGAAGGCATTCAGATCTACTCTAGATAGCGTATGTTATTTAAAACAAGAGGCATAACTCTGCCTTTACAGAGACTGTCAGCTACATTGACTATTTTCACTTACCTTTTCCTGGTAAAGGAGCCATCCGTATGTCTGTAAGTCTCGATTTACAGAGGAGGGATGCACTTGTGCTTTACCCTGAGCAGTTTCTACCATGCAAGCCAGCTTCTCTGTAATATCCACAGACTTTGTATACAGTATTTTTCCTACATTGTCATACAGCCCTGCAGTCAACACAGCTTTAAGAAGAGCTATTTCATGGAGAGAAAGGGATTGTGTGGCTCCATTTCCATCCCATCCACATTGCGTTGTAGGTGCTGTGAACCCTGCTGCTCTGACCACCCTTATGAGCTCTTGCTTCACATCCTGAAATTAGTAACGTATTAGTAAAACTGTGAATTTTAAAAGGTACATACTCAATACCATTAGCTGGCAATGACACTCCATCCCAAATACTCACACTCCCCAGGAGAAGATCTTACTAGAAAAATACTTATTTTCTGCAACCACTTTGGAATACTGCCTCTTTCCATGAGAAAAACATTACCTGGAATATAGGGTTAGATCTATGGTGCTGCATACACTGCAAATACTAAATCTCTCACCTGTAGTTAAAATGTAAAGATAATTAGGAGAGCTCAGTCACCCAAACTTAAATACGAACGGCCAATTAAAAATTTCTCTCACCAAAAGTAAAAGGCCATTTATATAAGTTTGTGGCTCACCTTTCAAACTAACCATTAACAGACCTGTTCTTTGCTATCAAGAGTTAAGACAATACAAGTATTTTAATTCATAAGTCTTGATTCTCTGGTGGAAGGCAGGCCTAGCTTCTCCAACGGCAATGACTACAGAGATGCATACCAACAAACTGTACGTATCAAAACTCAAACACAGACACAGCTACCTCAACTGAGGGTGTGCATTTCATCAGTCCCAGCATTCCATTTGCTTTTATCTTATCTAAATAGTAACTGAGATATAACACCTCTTTCAAAGGGTATGCCATTTTCAGAGGGAAATTTTAACAAATAACTTTTGAGTGCAGAGCATAATTATTTGGTTTACCTCCAGAGTTAAGAGTGAAGTCCTATTAAGGAAATTCCTTCTGCAGTAAGTCATTTCAGCACGATACCCCCCTTCCTGTCGAGCCCTTTTCCACCTAAGGAAAAAATCCTGTCTTATTACAGCAAAAGAAATCAATCAAGAGTATAACAATACGAGAGTCGTAGTAAGTTAAAAGGCAATACTGTGTTTTGGTCAGCATTCTCCACTCAGAACTAGAAATAAGTTGCATTAACGAAGATAAATGCTGCTGGCCTAGCAGCAGTCTTAAGAACATGGCTGCAACAAATTTGATAGATACTAACAATATATAAGATAATTTTATCTCAAAAAGTACACGCTTCTGTTTTGACCTTTGAAATAAAATTCAGGTGTTGACTTTGAGACTTAGTGATAATATCCTCAAAAGAAAAATATATACATTAGTCCTTTCTCAAATACAAAATATTCAGGTCAGCATACCATAAACAGAAGAAAAAATACTTTAAACACTAGGATACACAGACACAGTACATCTCTGTATGTGTGCAAGCATAGTTAAAAGGAGTTAAAGGGTAAGGTAGTAAGCAAACTATCCTTTTGCATTTGGCAATCTATTGTTATTCAGAAGAGAAAAACTTCAGGTACAAGCAATTAAAAAGAAATACTTACAAAGGATTCTTTGCAAAACTACATTACTTAAGTATTATCTACATCTAGCTGTAAGCACAGATTATTATTTACCCCAGATAAGCATTGTAGATTGTTATATGGTCTGAAACTGCCACTGCTAGAGATGATTTTGCAAGATCTGCTTCATCTTTTCGACCAATTGGTGTAGTAAATGGGGATTTTTCTGTCATAACAGCAGCCAGAGTTGCCTGCAATTAGTGAAGTACACATCACTTAAGAGTATTTTGTTATAAGCTTACAGGTTTATCATACAAACAGTTTTAAATTTTCTTTTACAGTAATATTTATTGATACTTTATCTTCTACTAAGCCTCAAGGAAAACTTATCGCCCTAAGAATTTCCTACAGAGAATTGAGAACTTACTTATACTAAGCATTGCTTACATATTGCCTTATATACAACAATAAAAAATATTAAATCTCAAAACTCACATGAAATGGCTTGTTTAAAGACAGAGCAATACCGGATATAAAGAAGGTCAGATTAAACAACTGCTTTAGACTATATCACATTAACAGGAGACATTGAAAAAACACAGGATTTAAACTTTCAGTTTTCAGGAAATAACATACCCATGCTGCCTCCTAATTTGGAGCAAGTTAAATGGATTAGCTGAAAGTGTAAACCGTAACACTTCATATAGTAAGTTACTACATCAATTAATTTGCAATAATTTTACATCAGCATGTTCTTGTCCCACAAACTGTGGGGTAATCCAGGCTGCTCTAAGCCACATGTAAGAGGGCTTCTCATAAGTGTCACGCTCCATGGGATCATAACAGACAGAACTGTAGACTGAGCCTACCCACTTGCGAATATTACCTAGGAGTTTAGAATTATAGAATCATTTAGGTTAGAAAAGACCTTTAAGATCAACAAGTCCACTTAGACACTTAGATTATTTCCCCTGATGACGTCCAGGTGCCCTCACCTTAAAATAAACATTTTAACCTCTTGCATCATCCTTTCAAGATACCATGTTGCAAGAAATCAGATGAATTCTAAGGAGTTAACCATTTCTATAGTTGTTTTTTTTTTTTTAATTTAGATAAGTTTGTTTGGGGTTTGTTTGTTTTTTTTTTTAACTCACCACAGGATCCAAGCAGCCAAATATAGCACCGAATATAAGCATTTTGCCAATCTTTACATTGACAGGAAGGGCGGCGAGGTGCTGGCCTAATGGAGTCAGTTTGGGCTCGCTGAACAGACAAGCCCCAATCTTCCTCAACAGGTTCATTGCATTACCAATTACTTGCTGCTGTGGTGGGTCTAATGCTCTGGAAAGGAAATCTTCAGGAGAGCCGAGATTGCATTTCTGTGGAGAAAATCATCATATATTTCAATATAAAAATTTATTATATTGAACTTCCATAGTAGCTAAAGAGGAAACTGAAAAGCTGTTCTTCCAATCAAAACCCCACACTCCCTCCCCCTCTAAACCATCCCCTTCGCTCCCAGAACGCAGGCACGCCCCACATTAGGTTAATGAGACTTCATTTTTTGGAAGGACTTAGCATGGCATGATCATTGATCATAGAAGCATGTTACCAATGGTTACAGATAAGCAGGAGAGTCTCAAACACAATGAGACGCATTTTAACCTGGCACTAATTTACCAGGCTGCTGTTTTTTCCATGTACATCCTACTCACAGAATCACAGAATGACATGGGGTTAGAAGGGACCTCTGGACATCAGCTAGTCTAACCCTCCTGCCAAAGCAGGTCCACCTGCAGCAGGTTGCACAGGAACGTCTCCAGAGAAGGAGATTCCACCACCCCTCCGGGCAGCCTGTCCAGTGCCCTGCCACCCTCAAAGTCAAGAAGTTCCTCCTCATGTTTAGATGAAGATTCTCACTCAGGATGGTGAGAGGGGGAAAGGAATTGCTTCCTTAAGCAGAAATCAATTTGAAGGCTATTTAACTAAGTTTGAATTCTCACTCTGAGGTAAACTGGAACAGTGCTCTCACTCAGGTTCTCCCCTGCTCTGGCAGGAGGAGCCCCACTAACTACACTGCATCAGGGCTGAACTGGCAAACTTTTTTAGCTAACGAGGTCAGTAATTCCAAAACCACGTGATAGTATGAAGGTGTAGTTCCTCTAAATGCACATATAATATTTTTAGGTAACAAGGTCAGCAATTCTAAAACCAAAACCATACCATAATATGAAGGCATAATTCCTCCAAAGGCACACGCAGTATTTCTGGAACAGAATATTCCATGAAACTTTCAAACCTGCAACATCGTAAGAACACAGAATCACAGACATTCAACTTAATCTTTGAATTCAACTTATAAACTCATGTTCCACATGCTCATTCTTTGCAGATGTTCTTTTGAAGGGCTGAGGTTTTGTTTTGTTTTAATACAGCTTAAACTTTACAGTTTGCGATCACTGAAGTGAATTTCAACAACACTTCCTGGTTTTACACACACAAAAAAGACAAAGATATTTATGTAATTAACAAAACATTGCTAACTTAGTTTACAGTACCTGTCTCTTGTGTACATTCGAAAGCAGAATCCGTCCCTGACACGCCCAGCTCTTCCTTGCCTCTGCAGAGCACTAGCCTTGCTAACAAAGGTCTCCTCCAGGGAACTCATCTGACTACTTTCGTGATACCTTAAAAATTGTAAAGCCAGTGGCAATTCAGATTTCAGAAATAAAATTTTGGTGTATACTTAAATAACAACATATTGATAGTATATCTAAATAGTACTTATTTGAAAATTTTACAGTATTGAAAACTAAGCATACCTGGAGGAACTGTACATCACAGTACCTTGATATACTAATGAAAACGATAAAGTTGGAAAATGAAAGAGCTATTGTATTAGTTCGTCTCCCTGGCAATTCAGAATCATTTTAACACATTTTAAGGGCTTTTCACATTTAAAACAGACAAAATATAACTTCTAAAAACTACGAGAGCATAAAAAGGATCTACTTTATTTTTAATTCAGTACTTAATCATGATTCTCCATATCTATAAACTCCCCTTATTGTTCTTCACACCATTTGAAAATCCAGAGAATCATCTCAAACTTGTACTTAAACTGCAAGCTGTTCAATGAGCTCAGCACATTTCTTGTCCAGAAATGCAGTTTAATAAGGATATGACAGAATTCTTGCAGTACTGACCTCCAAATATTTACAGTAATTACGGTATGATGAATGAAGACTAAACTCACCGATTTTCTTTTGTTCTGCCAGTATCAATTACAAAGACAACATCTGGTATCGTAATACCTGTCTCTGCTATATTGGTTGCCAAAACAATCTGAAAAGAAATAACATGCCACAAATAAAAGAATTATGGGATGTCTGCCTAACAGTTTTCATCTTTTTAATCAATATTACAGAATAAATTTGGTTAAAGTTTTTCACCCAGAAATACTTCCTTAAGTAATCTGACAAAGAATTAAAAGCTACAAGATGTGGAAAATTGTTTAGCCCTCCCTAATTAATGAGGAATCAAAAGTTAAACAAGAATTTCACATTCACTTTTTGTTTTATAAGCCATCAAAATTACTAGCTAGTACCTGTCAAAATTGGTCAACTTTTAATTAAATGGTTTCAGTAAGTAAGGTAGCAAGTAAAATACTATTTTCTTAGATAAAAGGTATAGTTGCTGGTCAATAATAATTAAAATATCATAGAATGGTTTGTGTTGGAAGGGATACTTCCCATTAGACCAGGCTGGTCAAAGCCCCATCCAGCTTGGCCTTGAACACTCCCAGGGATGAGGCATCCACAACTTCTCTGGACAACCTGTTCCAGTGCCTCAGCACCCTCACAGTAAAGAATTTCTTCCTGATACCTAATCTAAATCTCCTCTCTTACCACTACTCCTCATCTTATCACTACATGCCCTTGTAAAAAGTCCCTCCCCATCTCTCCTGCAGGCCCCCTTCAGGTACTGGAAGGCTGCTATAAGGTCTCACCAGAGCCTTCTCTTCTCCGGGCTGAACAACCCCAACTTTCTCAGCCTTTTCTCATAGGAGAGGTGCTCCAGCCCTCTGATCATCTTCATGGCCCTCAATATAGGAAAGCAACAATTAAAGAAGCTTTTAGAAATATATTAGGCTTAAAAATTTGTTAGATTACTGTCAAGGTTTTCACAGTATGTTTGCTTCTATCTGTTAAGAAAGCACCGCGATAGTAGAATTGTTTCTTCGCAGTAAGAAAATTCCAGGAACAATTGCTTGTTGTATAATTCTGTATGATTTGATTTCAAAATAATTCAGAGTTGCACCCACAGAAAGTTTCTTCTTTCAGTGGTGAACGTGGCATTTCGAAATATATCATACCTTTCTAATACCAAGAGGAGGTATTGTAAATGCAGCTGCTTGATCTTGAGTTGAAAGAACAGAATGCAAAGCTATCAGCCTGTGCCTAGAACAAGAAATTACACTAATCAATATACACAAATTGAGATATGGTAAAAAAAATGAGGTCAGAAAGATGACAACAGTTGGGAGAAAGCAGCTGGAGTGGACACTTGAAGGACTAAAACTTTGTATCGTTAGGCATGAAGGTTCAATATTTTATTGCAGTGTCAAGAAAGGATGCCCCCACTAGTTCATAGGGTTGTTCTCCTATTTGGTAATAATGCATGAAAAATACTGCTGCTGCAGATCTCTAGGTTAATTTACATCAATAGCCTAGCAAAAAAGGGAAGCAAGTGTCAGTGAACCCAAGCTCTTCACATTGTCCTGCCAAGACAAGGACTGTCATTGAAACTTTGCACAGAACTGTAAGCAGATGCAACTTTCAGTCTGAGTAAATAAAGACTTTCAGAGATGAGACAGCCACAGATATTAGTGCTTTCATTCTCTTCTAGACCTTGACATCTCAGTCCATCTACAAAACCTTAGAATTTGACTGCAACTGTTCTTTTTATGCCATCGTGTTGCTAACTTTAGTTACTAAAATTTCAAAACTGTCATTACAACCCTATGCTATTTCTCCTGCTAGATTACTGTCCTTGGTTGTCTTCTCAGGAAACAGTCACTTCCACGTAAACAACAAGCCACAGAAAGTGGGAACGAGCCACCCTAAGCAGTGGAAAATAAGTAGTCAAGTGCTTTGTGATTAAGTAAGTTTGTTGAAAAATAAAACAATAAAAAAAAAGTTATTACTGTACCTACCATTCATAAGCACCTGTCATTCTTGCTTGTATCATTCTCAGATAATAGAAGTATATTTGTAGCACAAACAGCTCAGAGGTCTAACTCTCAGTTTCCCTTTTACAATAGCAGACTTTAAAACCCAAACGTATTAAGCTGAACTATTAACTTTACAGAAAATATCTGCATTACCTGTCACGCAAGTTAAATCTTCTGTCAGTTGAGATGAGATCATACAGCTGTTGGATATGGGCAAGGCCTGGTAAAAAGATCAGCACAGCACCCTCAATGTTCTTGAACTGGGGACTTCTATCTGGAAAGTTACAGTACATAGTTAAAAATCACATGGGCACATAGTTAAAACAAACTCGCATTTGCAAACTGTTTCACTTGAGAACAGGCACTAGGATGTTTCACCAACGCAAGTGAACTAACTAGTGATGTCAAGACTAGAGGCTGCAGTGATCACACACCGGTGCAGTTCACAGTCCTGAAGGATATGGTCAGGCAAAGAGTAAAGTCAGGACCCTGAATTTCAGTTAACCAAACTTTCAGCTCTTCAAGGAGTTCATCAATAGAAGCCCCTGGGAAACCGCTCTCAGGGACAAGGCAAACCAATAACAAGGGATGAGGAGATGGCAAAAGTTCTCAACCTTTTTTTTTCCCCCACCTCAGTCTTCACTGGTGACCTCTCTTCCCACACCTCTCAAGTGGACGGACAACGAGATAGGAACAAGGGAAGCAAAGTCCCTCTCACTGTAAGAGAGGATCAGGCTTGTGTCCACCTGAGGAACTTGAACACAGAAGTCTATGGGACCTGATAAGATGCATCCCAGAGTCCTGAAGGAATTGGCTGATGTAATCACCAAGACACTCCCCATGATAGTTGAAAAGTCATGGCATCAGGTAAAGCCCTTGGTGATTGGGAAAAGGGAAACATTGCACCCATTTTTAAAAAGGGTAGCCCTCGGGAACTACCAAGCCATAAGCCTCACCTCTGTGCCTGGGAAGATCATGGAACAGATTCTCCTAGAAGTTGTGACAAGGCACATGGAGGACAGGGAGGTGATTCGAGACAGCCAACATTGCTTCATCAAGAGCAAGTCCTGTCTGACCAACCTCATGGACTTCTATGGCAGAATGACTACATCAGTGGACAAGGGAAGAGCTATGGATGCCACCTATCTGGACTTCTTTTAACATAGTCCCCCACAACATCCTTCTCTCTAAATTGGACACATACAGACTTGATGAGTGGATGAGGAATTGGCTGGACGGCCACATCCAAAGGGTAGTATTGGTCAACAGCTCAAGGTCCAGATGGAGATCAGTGACAAATGGTGTCCCTCAGGGGTCTGTACTACCCCACAACATCCTTCTCTCTAAATTGGACACATACAGACTTGATGAGTGGATGAGGAATTGGCTGGACGGCCACATCCAAAGGGTAGTATTGGTCAACAGCTCAAGGTCCAGATGGAGATCAGTGACAAATGGTGTCCCTCAGGGGTCTGTACTAGGACAAGTACTGTTTAATATCTTCATCAATGACATGGTAGGACTGAGTGCAACCTCAGCAAGTTTGCAGAAAACACCAACCTGCGTGGTGCAATTGACCACCCAGAGGGACCTGTGGCTCAAGATGCACACCTGTGTGAACATCATGAGGTTCAACAAGGCCAAGCAAAGCACCCTGTACCTGGGCCGTACTGTTTAATATCTTCATCAATGACATGGTAGGACTGAGTGCAACCTCAGCAAGTTTGCAGAAAACACCAACCTGCGTGGTGCAATTGACCACCCAGAGGGACCTGTGGCTCAAGATGCACACCTGTGTGAACATCATGAGGTTCAACAAGGCCAAGCAAAGCACCCTGTACCTGGGCCGGGGCAATGCCCAGTACCAATACAGGCTGGGGGATGAAGGGAATGACAGCAGCCCTGCTGAGAACGACTTGGGGGTACTGGTGGAAAAGCTGGACATGAGCCAACGAAGCAGAGTCACAGTCCAGAAAGCCAACTGTATACTGGGCTGCATCAAAAGAAGCATGGCCAGCAGGTCAAGGGAGGTTACTCTGCACCCCTACTCTGCTCTGGTGAAACCCCACCTGGAGTACTGCATCCACCTCTGGAGCCCCCAGCACAGGAAAGACACGGACCTGTTGGAGCAGGTCCAGAGGAAGGCGCAAAAAAACGATCAGAGGACTGGAGCACCTCTCCTAAGAGGACAGGCTGCAAGAGTTGGGGTTATTCAGCCTGGAGAAGAGAAGGCTCTGGGGAGACCTTACTGCAGCCTTTCAGTACTTAAGGGGGGCTTTAATAAAGATGAGGGCAAACTTTTTAGCAGGGTCTGTTGCAAGAAGACAAGGGGGTAAACTAAAAGCGGGTAGATTCAGGCTAGACATATGGAAGATTTTTTTATTATTTTATTTTTACTATCAGGTTTTTGAAACACTGGAACAGGTTGTCCAGAGAGGTGGTGGATGCCCCATCCCTGGAAACATTCAAGGTGAGGTTGGACAGGGCTCTGAGCAACCTGATCTAGTTGAAGACATCCCTGCTCACTGCAGGGGGACTGGACTAAGTGCCCTTTAAAGGTCCCTTCCAACCCAAACTAGTCTATGGTTCTATGTAAGAATGAAGTCAAGTACTTCATTGTCAGTAGAAAGCACTGGAAAATAAGTCCAAACGTACAAACAACCCCAAGCATACAAATGTCTTAAGTAGACTGTACCTAAATATGCAAGCAACTCCAAAATAAGTTCAAGGTTGATCTTGTAAGGGTTCATATAGAAGATAGCCTGCTGTGTACGACTGCTATACTTGGCATAGTAAGGAGCCAAATCGATACCAGATCCAGACTGGATTGGGACATACTCCTGAAAAAGAAGAGCAGGAAAAAAAATCATGTTCTCAGTGGCTTAGAAGAAGGTAGGAAAGGTGGTGGTCAACTTGTTGTTCACCTGATTTCACCTAATTTACATTTCATAAAGCAGAGATTGACATAAGAAACAATTGACTAACTTCCCACCAAAATCAGTGAGAGTTACATAAAATCACAGCCATCTACATAACCTGTGTACAGGTACCTACTACTGTTAAATGACATCTGAGACAAAACAGAAAAAAAAAAAAAGGGGGAAAAACCTAAGTGTGTAGAAGCAGTACTATACAGCCTGTTTTATGAATGAAAACAGTTCCCAAGTCTGTATCTGGCATCCAGTTGGTATCAATTCAAAATAGCATAACAAGGTGGATACCCCAAAACCAGAATTTTGAAAGAAGAGTATAAGAAACCAGGCTGCCCTTTCTCCTCTCCCTCATTTCACCCTTTTCAGCTTTCATTGCAACCATTGGATCAGAGTGAATAAGGTGGCAACTCCTGCTGTGTTTTGGAGCAGAAGGAAAGGAGGAAGAAGGGGGAACATAGCAAACATTTATCAGAACATGCAGACATTTTAGTTGTTTATGACACATATTTAGCATAAGGCTTCTATGATAAGTGGCATTATTGTAAATTATTTCATTGTTAATCAATGCACTTATCCTACATGCACCACATATCCTTCTGTACTGAAGGCTCAACAGAAATAAACCACAAAGATGGAGGAGTACTTGGGAGAGCACTTGGGCTTCAACTAAAGGACGCTGTTGTGATATGTAAGGTAACTACCACTCTAGGGAAACAAACAAATAATCACCAGACCACATAAGACCATAATTTTCAACATATGCATCAGTGTTTGATCATGTCAAGCTAAATGGTCCTGCAGAGATTTTGAGAGAGTAAGTCAGAGCAGACAGGTAACTACCCAAAATATATACAGTCTAGATGAGCAGGCTAAGGTGCCTCAAGCCAGATGGCATTCACATACTCTTCCCTCCATGAACTTCCATGCTCATGTGATCCAAAAGCACATACAGCTGTCTGCAAAGTACCTACAGGATTAACCTCAGCCTGTTAAACCAAAAAGCTCTGCACAATAATTTCATGTAAATCTTATTTTGCATGCCAAGTAGCTGGAAAAACTCCCAAGATCTTCCTAAGAAGGATATGACCTGGCCTCTTCTGTTCTTAGGTTCACTACTTAGGAGAATTCTTTGGGAGGAAAAAAATCCCAAACTTAAATGCTTCTCCTGCTGCTTATAGATCTAGAACTGGGAATCTGTACAACAGAATTCAAATGTCAAATACAGAACAATCAAGTCAACTATAAAGGAGCTGGTGAGACAAACATACAGGTGCAGTATTAACAAATATTTGGTTTCCACTGTAGAAGTGCCATTGTGTCTTTTACCAACTGTAAGAATATTTGAAACTATACAAACTGACCACATTTAATAAGAGGAACATAACTGATAATCAAAAAACAAATCAACATTTCCAAGCCAAAACTAGAAATGCCTATTTTACCTGATACTTTGTAGTGCCTCCTCCTTTGCTAGTAACATTTATTGTTACTTCCTCCTCCTCCTCCAAGAACTTCTGACAATATTCTGAGTCTTTCTCCAGAACATAGCCAGTTGCTTCAATTACATCTTCAACATGGAAAATCTTTAGTGAAAATTCACAGAAGAAATACAAGGCATGTTAAAAGCTAACCAGCATCTTTTCGTTTTTCAATGCTTACGTACAAAGCTGAACAGCGTACACCCTTATCTTAATGTTGTAATAGATCTTGCAAATTTTAACTTAAAATTTCTTATGCTTTTTGAAAACCTAAACACAGAGCTACTATGAGTTTGTTAATGGGCCTTTCCACATGACCACTAATATTACCTTTACCATAGAATATATAACATGCACGAGGAACATAGGTAAGAGTGTAATGACAAAACTGCATGTGAGGCGAGAGGAATTCCCTTTAACAGAGAAAAATCAAAGTGTCACTGAGGGACTGATTTTAATCAATAATTAATCTACCAGAAAAAAAATAGTACAACCCTGTACTTCAAAGCACTGAATGTATATTTTTAAGAAGGAAAAGGGTTGCAAGTCCTTAAAACACATGTTTAAGGTAACTATTCTTGGTAAGAAAGAAGTGATATAGGCGTATTCCCTATAAGACAATAACCAGACAAACACTGTGTTACAGAGTGTCTTGCACAATCAAAGAAACATTCACCTACCTCAACAGGGTAACTCCTCCCAGAGATTCTTAAAATGGGACAGTGTGAGAAATAGCTGGAAAACTTCTCACTGTCTACAGTAGCACTCATTAAAATCAGATGCAGGTCTGAACGTTTATGCAAGATCTCCTTCAGAATAACTAGCAAGAAATCAGATTGGACACTTCTTTCATGCACCTAGAATTAGAAAAACGTTATCTATAGTAAGGTTTTAGTACAAATCAAGGCCCAGAATAACTATGGTTTCTGCAGAACAGTAAGACCTGATTACCTCATCTACAATGACATGAGATATACTTGAAAGAAGACCATCTTCTTGAAGTTTCCGAAGCAGGACACCTGTTGTACAGTACAGTAGTCTTGTGGCTTCTCCTGTTCTTGACTCCATACGAATTTGATATCCACAAAGGGAATTCTTTAAAAAAAGATATAAAAAATACAGAATAACTTAAAAGAGGACACAAGCTAGAGATATTCAAAACAAAGTGAAATTTAAGCACTGCTAGATTCAGAGACTGCACAAGTCGCTAATTAAATAGTATGGTGAATGACTAACACACTGTTGTTTTTTTTACGTACACGAACCTTACTTTGTGAAGAAAGGGAACACTGAAATCTACAACTAAGTTTCTCCAGAAAGGCAAAGAGTGGTAGATTCAGTGCTCTTTTCAGGATTCTTCACGGTTCCTAAACAAAAATATTTTTGCACAAATAGACTACCATACAGGACCTTTGTTTTCTTCAGGTAACAGAGTAACTTGTGTCGGAAGGGGCCGCTCTCAAAGCGGAGCCTCACTCAAGGTATAGGAGTGTATTGCTCAAAGCCTTATTCAGGAGAGTTTTCTCCATGCCCAATGACAGGGATGCGATAGACTCTGGGCAATCTGCTCTAATGTTTGACCACCCCCATTATGAAACATTCTTGCTCTTAATCACTCGCTAAAAATTTCAGAAATGATATGTGGATACTCAGAGGTGACAATTTGGAAAGAAATCGCTGACATAGCAAGATGCCCTTTTCTAGAGAATTATTTGGTTTCACTTTGTACCAACAATCCAGCCCCCTGCATTTGATCAAGACTAGACGAAGAAATTCAAACACATCTTACTTTTCCTCCTGGTCCTGATTCGCAGCCTAGCTCTTCACAAACCCTGGTTGCCAGACTCACTGCTGAGATTCTTCGGGGTTGTGTGCAAACAATATTGCATTTAGTTGACCCTTCATCTAGCAACAAGTCTTCCAACAAGAAATGGGGCACCTGGGTGCTCTTCCCACTGCCTGTTTCACCAGCCACAACAACTACTCGATGTTTTTTAAGAGTTTCTACAATTGAGTATTTGTGCTTAAACACAGGTAACTCCTGTCTCTCCTTCAGAAGCCTCTGGTATCTGGAGGAACTTTGCAACTTTTTGAACAAAATCCTTGAAGGTTCCAAATTATCTGCGTCTGAGGTCTCAAGGGAGAGACTGCCAAAGTCCTCATCAGAAACTAAGTTTTCCCAGGAATCTTCAGGACCCTCAGATACTTTCGGTTGGTTTTCAGACTGCAACTGTTGCTGTTGTTTGAGTTTGTTTAATAATCTAGCAATAAAGTTATCACGGGGTTTGTTGGTTTCCATCTTGTTTTCTTCTTCCTTTTTCTTTTCAATATCCCTCCATTCTAGCCAGACATCTCGGTAGGTAGGAGGCAGTAACTGATGAACTGACTTCAGGTGGAAAAAGAAAAAAAAATTAACTGATGAACTGACTTCAGGTGGAAAAAGCAGAAAAAAAAAATATTTTATGTGCTACTTAGCAGTATCACTGACATTTTAAACGTAAATGAACTGAAGCGGCAAAAGATATGACAAAATGTTAAATAGGGAACTACTTCTAAATACAGAAGCTATGAAAACAGTAATATAAACATCAATGATACACTTTAATTTTCAACTGGCTTGCATTCTTTACAACACTGAAAGAATAATTTCACTATCAAAAAGTTTCCTCCCTGTATGCTCTAACACATATGCCTGCTTATAGATAAAAGCAAATGAACATACAATACAAAGAATGTAATGGCAAACACTTCATTATACTGTTTTTAGAATTCAACTATAAAAATTATAACAAACAAGTGCAGAGGCAGATTGCAGGATAAGAATAGTAATATTGGTGAAAATCTTACTTGTCCTTTGGTTAAATGATAGAGTGCCAAAGTAGCAGCAAGATGCTGTGCCTGCATGCTATCTTCTGTTACAATTGTAGGACACATTGTCATTACATCATCTGACGATTTTGTAATCCTGACCCTTAAAGACAAATTTATAAAGACATTTATCTTAAATTTTTGTTACCTATATAATAGCACATCTGTTAATGTTTTTGTTCAAAGCATAAGATTGAAATTCCAATAGAGAAACTAGGCTAGAGAAACTTAATGTTAGTCAATAATATTTTGTAAACAGAACCAGTCGATAAATTGAGTATCAGGAAGTTTTCAGCAGCAGATTCCAACAGGGAATTTGTTAATTTATTTTTTTTTTGCCCATTAACAAATGTCTTTATTTTCTTTAAAGCAGAAGTATTTGTACCATATAAATCATTATTAAGGACTAAATAAGTTGTTTGCGTGCTTGCAACTACTTAGCATAGATTGAGATGACAGTTAATGATCTACTGAAATGCAAATATTTGTTTAACAGTTAGGTAAGTCAGACCAGCAGATAAATTTCTCAGATTCTTAGGGGAACAGTATATTAGGAGCTTTTAACTTGGGCAAGACAACAGGTTCTTTTACTTAGTTCCTTCAAGAAGCACTACTTATTTGTATGTGTTAATATTCTATTTTATACTTCTATAATATAGACTCATTTTTCTAGAAGAAATTTAGAAATCACTGATACGGCGTTGTTTTAGTTACAAACTTACAGTAACTTTAATAAAATTTTCTAAATTCCACTTCATCTTAAACAATCTCCAAAGGTATTCCTATGCTTAAAGCCTATGATTTAATATATTACTTTGAATAAGAATATCAGTGGTACAGCTTTAAAAACTAACCCATCCTTTATATGGGATCATTCACTAGAGTCTCATTTTCAGTGGTAGCATCCAGTCTAAACATCACTTTTGCAGAGCTATTCAGAGTGAAATACCTCCCTGCTGGACTAAAATAGAGTTTGGGTTAAACACACTATATCCCTATAAATCTGGAAGAACATGACAGGACAGAAGTAGCCAGAATTTTATTTTTTACAAGAACCAAAAGAAAAATGTAAAGTTTATAGGAAATACATACCTACATTTCCAATATTTTCCAACCGGAACCTTTTCAAAACCAGGATTTGGGCTCTTGGGAAAATTCTTCCTGCACCAGTCAATCAAAAATTGTTTTGGAGATTTACCAGTCCAGCTTCGAGCACTATAATCAAAGTTTCTTACATCTAGCGGTTCTTTCTTTTTCACTATGAGAGCAAAAAGACATTTTAAGTCTCAATATTTGCTTTACATTCTTTTGATAGCCAGGAATGTTTTTACCTTTTCTTCAAATGTATTTTTACTAGAAACGGGTATTTTCTGAAATGTTTTGCAGACATACTGGTACTGATACAGGACAAAAATCCCTGATTTTGCCATGAAAGTACTTAGCATGAAATTAATTGCAGTATTCTGTTTGCTATATTTGATCACCCACCAATGTAAGAAGTCTTGCTTAAGTTTGGTTATTAGAAAATAATTTAAGTTTGAAGGTTTAAAATGCAAAGTTTAAGAAGATGATAGGGTGACAATGGAAACAACAACTAGCCCCACAATAAAAAAAAATAAAAATCAAAGTTCTAGATGTGACAGTATGGCAAAAATAGCTTTCAACATCATCTGCAAAAACAAATACAGATTCTTTAAAGTCAGCTTGGTAGTCCACCTGCTTTTCCCACAGTCAGAGCTCGATTACTCAGCACTGCAATGCAATACAACCTAGAAAAACAAGAACTAATAGTGGAAAATTGTGGTACACCTCAAGCTTGTACCAAACCACTTCCAACACACCTTTGTCTTCCTTTGCAGCACCATCAGGTTTTTCAAGCAAGCTCAAATTCAAAGGGGTTTCTTGAGGCTGAGGTGAGGGAGTTTTTTTCTTTTCATTTTGCTGTTGGTTTGAAATCTTTATAGCTGGATTAAATACTGGATGTTCTTCAAGTATTGCCATTTCTGTCAGAGAGAAAATACAACTCACAGCCAAGAGAATACAATTTACATCCATCAGTTGCTGAGCATGTATTCTTTAAAAAGAAAAGATTACTTGTATTAATTCATACTGAGCACTCAAAAACAGAAGTAGTGAAACTTTACTGACTTTTTTAGAATTTGACCCACATGGAAAGGACAGATTCAGGAGAGCCTGCAATTCACAGGGTGGCCTAAAAGTTGATGAAATCAATTTAACCTGACTCAGAGACTTACGTGCCTAACAAATACACAAATCACAAAATAAAACACACGTAATTTGTATAGCTCTACCTTGCTGAATTCTTCTTATTTTCTCCTGTGCTACTTTCTGGCCTTGCTTATCTTTGTCTTGCTTGGAGGTGCTTGCTTGTTCTTTTGCTTCTGAAAGCTTGGCAGCCAGATGTACATACCTCTCATTCTATTTTAAACAGAATTATCAATTACAAGTTGAATATTGTATGCTTGTCACTTTTAATGACCTTCATAAAAAAAAATGGGAGGGGTTTTGTCCTTTATACTGAGCTTACACAAAGAAGAAACAATTAGTTTTTACGTAACTAACAGTCAAAACCTCTCAGAATTTAATAGTCACTTTCCTAATGTCACCAAGATATGCTTCAAGAATTATTCCTTTCCAGCACAATGCATTCAGCATTTTGAGCTCAGTACAAAAAACATCGGAAAGAAAAAATAACTTAGATGTTTCAACACATTTACCCTTCAGCAACCTGCAAACGTATAAATAGACAACATAAAAAAACCTGTTCAATCTACAATTTTTAACAAATACATTCACCACTTGCAGGTGTACCAGACATTGCCAGTTTTTGAAAGACTTCCATGAAGTGTTATTCGATCTTACTGGGTCAAACTTTTCTTCATCTGCCTCTTTCACAGACTCATTCTTCTCTTCATCACTCTGCTGCTCAGCATATCGCAAAATCCATTCCTTCATACTCACTTCTTTCTCTTTCCCCGCTTTTGTATCCTAGAAAAGCAACCAAAATCAAAAATAATAATAACAGTAAGCAAAAATACCAATGCTTTTCTCTGTCAGTATTTAGGAACTACTACTTAATATTATATACATAATCTAAGTTATATGACGTAAATCAAGCAGGAAGCAAACTTCTCCAAGCAGGATAAACATTTCACAATATACTTACATAGATCTTAATACTTGCGTGATTATAACTGCTAAAAAAAACACTCTACAGATTAAAAAAATAATAGTAAAAAAAGCACTTTTGTGCAAAATCTTTTAGATTTCTAGGTTTAACATTCAATAACCACAGAAATCAAACTACTGCAAGTACAAAGGCAAACTTAAACCCACAAAAATACATAAAGAGCACCATCTGTACACAAATAGAATGAACTCATTCCAGGAGAAAATTAAGCTAGGCTGTACCACAAAAATGAACTATGAAGAGCCCCTCTATACTTCAAACATAAAAAAATAATCTTACCTTCATATAACCCTTCCACTGGAGTTAAAATAATGTGGATGACAATTATTAAGCATGCCACATTTTCAGAAGTTTTTCACATCAGCATTGGAAGTCTATGCAAATTCTGTATTTTAGAGAACTTCTTTTTCTATATGCCCCTCTTTCCCCCACCCCCCGAAATACAAGTTAATTTCTCAGATTACCTTAGTTTCAGGGACTTTTTCCTTCTTTTTGCTATCTACTACACGAGGTGGCGGTTCACGTGACACAGGAGAACAAAATTTTGCTCTAGGTTTCTGTTGCTGCTCTTCAAACTGCTGGCTAAAACCTTCAGGCAAGACATCTTTAAAATAAAAAAAGAACATGTCACAGATACATCAATATAATTACTGAAAGTCTTTTAAAGTGTGTTGAGAGCCAATGAGAAGAATATAAAGCTAAACCAGCATGCCTGAAATAAAATTAGCCTTTAGCACTTAGATAAGCCAGCGTTTGCTGGTTGGACTTCCATAAAACTAACAGTAGGAACAAGAAGTCTAAAAGACTTTAGATACTAAAAAAAAATATCCCAGAACCCATCAGCAGCACATCTAGGAAAGGAATGCTGTCATGACTACTGGTCTTAGTGAAAAATTATAATTACTACTATGAAACATTCCCATTCCAGACCATGTCCTATCACTCTTCTGTTAAAAACTATAGTCAATCCTCTGTCACCATACTCACCGTCAGGAAGGTTTAAACAAAGCCAATCAAGTGCAGAGTGAAGATCACCACCATACAAAAGTGTGTTTTTCATTGCTTCTTCAATATGCTCAGTCTTAAAAGAGAATCTTTGTAAAGCCATGTATACATCCTATAAGGAAAAAAGGCAGAAAATAATTGGATTTTATCTAGCAATCTAATACTGTCTTTTAAACTCCTATTTCCCACATATTGGGTAACTGGCATTAAATGGAGGTAAACAGCATAAATTAATGTATCAGAAGAGTGAGTAAAAAAAAAAAAAATCATGTTTTGCATACAGTTTATAATACTTGTTATTGAAATATGTATGTATATATATAAATAAAAATACCTTCCAGCCTCTGGACAAAATGTACATATTTTCTAGTTAGAAGATAAACCTACAATTTTCAAACTATATGAAACAAAAAAGTGTAGGAAACATAAATAATTCAGATTTAATTCAGATTAAGTTTTATTCCTCTATCCTGTCTGAAGACACTGATTTTACTTAATGAATACATAAAGATGTATCTTTGTTAACAGGCATACTTGTTGATTCCACTGATTAATCATTAATATAACTACTAGAAAGCATGCTACATTGGCTTGTATTGCACATAGAAGTATACTATGACACATGATAAAAATGACAAAAAATAAAGAATTTATTTTAAATAAACAATGGTCAGAGAACAACACTTTAAAACTCACCTGTAGTTTCTTCGCAGTAAGTCTTTTGGAAATGATTCCTTTATCATCGTTTTGTTTTTTATGGTCATTGATTACATCAATAATACGTTTCTCCAATTTACCATTTATCATCACCTGCACAGAGAAAATTAGTTGATACAAAGCAAAATATTACAAGTTCTTATTACATATCAATGCTTCTTATGGCTAAGGAAATAAGAATGCAGAAATCACTCTGCCATTCAAATCCCAACCTTTCCAGCTTTCCATAAGTGTGGTATGCAGTTCTTACAAAAGGGACACTTTTCTCTTTTTACTTTTGCAAGCTATATGCTTTTACTGGAAATAGAAGAGTTCATTTCTTATTGCAGAGAATGCCCATTTACATCTTCAAGAGAATTTAGTATGTCAAAGGAAACAACAACAAAAAAAATCTACCAGAAAGAACAAGGCCTTTCTCCTCTGCTTAAAAGAACTGGTATAAAATAATTTGATCATCAAGATACAATCTGTGACACTCTCCTTCCTTGCTGGCTTAAAAAAAAATAATTTTAGTATTTTTAACACTTCTAAAACATGAACCAAGTTTTGATTGCTACTGAGGTTGTGGTATAAAACCCATATTCTTCCCCTGACTGGAAGAACACACATGCATGGCATGTAACATAACTCTTAGTAGTCCTGCATGCAATGTATCATTTGTTACTTAAAAAAAAAAAAATAGACACTCTCCAGCCCTGTTAGTTTACACCTAGTTTTAAAGTCCACTCAAAATCCCAAACATATTAAGCTCAAGATTGTCTAATACATGAATACAGTTTACCTGCATAACATAATACTGAAGAAGAGCTGAAGAAATATTTATTCAGCTGAAAAGAGTATGAAAACTAAAGTTGTTTTATCTAAAGAAGATACTCACCTTAAGAACGGATTTATCTAGATTTGCGGCAGCACTGGAATCTGTTGTTGAACTAAAACTGTAAGTTTTCGGACCTGCAAATTGAAAAACCCATCAATTACATAAGCAGAACACAGAGAACATTGCTTACACTAGCCAAAGCAGACCAAGTATAACACAGGTTAGCGCAAGAAAATACTACACTAATTTGCCAGAAACAGACAAGCACACGAGAATAATCAACAGTACAGAAAGGCCCTCGAACAAGGAATAGCGAAGAAGGGTCTGACTCTCAGTAGACAAAATATAAGATTTCAGGTGGTACAGCAAGAGGAAATGGGATTGACTGTTCACTCTCTCTCAGCACTGGAGCAAGGAGTGCCAAGTAGGGAAGCCCATGGCAAGTTTGAAACCAGTAAGACTGTCTTTTCTTACTATGAAGTGCATAGCTATGTAACTGAACTCTTTGCCGTTAAAGTGTGGATATTAGGTGTTTATCAAAGTCCAAGGGCAGACAGGATAGCTTTGTAGTAAAGAAAGGAATAATTTGGGATGGCATTGAAAAAAAGTTGCATCTGGCTTAGGAAGACCTTACAACACAACTGGTGGAGGATGTTAGAGCACCCTACACAGTATCACCACATGTCCAACCTATTCTTACCTAAGTACCTGCTTTTGGCCCTTATGTAGGAGAGGGAACTAGGTTACAGAGCCTTTTGATCTCATCTGCTATGGTCATTCTTAACTGCTTTTCATTTACCAGCTGTTAGAAAAATACTAAAATACAAAAGCTATTTATTGTCATTAGAATGTCAACACACAGCTTGCTGTTGGATTCTGTTTTTTTTTTTTCAGAACACATATACTGTTTCTGGTACTGCAGAGATATAAAGAAACTGAGCAACCTCACAGCTTTCACCACTGGGTAAGGCTGTATACCACTCAGAGCGAGCAGCACTGTGCTTTGGGAGGCACAGCTACCTCCCAGCTCCTCACCTTGCCAGTTCATCTGTGCTGCACTGCCTGCAGAGAGGCTCTAGGAGAGCCCATTTTAAGATGAGGACCGGGTGTAAGTAACTGCATTTCAGCAAAAAAGCATGTCACCTCTGGTCAGGAGCTAAAAAGACCAGTTAGCCCTCATGAGCTAACCACTAGCACTTACTGGTAAGCTGTGCAAGTACACAATATTTAGACTACGCTAACTTACTTTTCACTTACACTGACTTACTTGCCACCACAGCAGACAACCTAGGAGAGAAGCAGAATAGTTTCTAAAGAAGACTGAGCACCAATGTGTTGGAGGAGCGGGAGACACAGTAAATGTTAACCAGAGCCCAAATTTGTAAAAGCAGAGGATGTTCAGAAAGTTTAAGTCAACAAATTACAAGACTTTGTCTTAAGAAGTTGGAATTTCAGATGGCCTGACCATTGCATAATTTGCAACACAAGCTGGTGTAAAGTATCTGAGATACTATTTCTAGCAAAGCTGGTTTATTGAAAACAGGCATCTGCAGAATACTAGTTTTTCAGGCTGCACCCAAAGCAGTCATCCCTCAGCTCATCCAACACTGCTGCACATTACACTGGTTTTGAGCACGAGTGAAATGAACACAGTGAACACCCACAAGAGAAGTGCATTACTGGGGAAATGCCACAACACCACTTGCTCCACAAAAGCCGCCTATAATGTTAATGACAGATTTTTCCTTCCCCACAAGGCTCATCTACTCAGGGACACCCCAAGAAGCGAGAGAGGCTCAAGCCAGGCCTGACCAGCCCCATGTCAGAGGGATTTAAGGTGCCTTTTCAAATAACGCCGGGCCTCCCTCCAACACGCCCAAGCCCCCAGGCGGAGGCGGGCCGCGGCCTCAGGGGCTCCCTCCCTGCGCTCCCGGACACCCCTCAGCCGCTTAGACCCCACACCCCTCCTCCCTCCCTCCTGCACGGCCGCCCCCAGGCCTCGCCGCCCGGGGCCGCCTCAGGCCGCAGGCCCCGCTACCTTGCTTGACACGCGGTTCCTTGGAGACGGGCGGCGGCCGCGGCGCCGCTCGGCTGCCCGCCTCCGCGGCAGCAGCAGCTCCAGCCTCCGCAGCGGCCCGGGCCCGCGCGGCGGCGGTGGCAGCGGAGGCGGTGTGGGCCGCGCTGCCCGCCCGCTGCTTCTTGTTGCGGCCGCCCATGACACCCCCTGCCCGCAGCGGAACCGGCCTGCCCTTCTACATCCGGGCACCCCCGCTTGGCACCGCCCTCTTGGGCTATTCCCATTGGCCAGCGCTTCCCGCTTGGCACCGCCCTCCGCTTCTTATTGGCCTGAGGGATAGCGCGTAACCCCGCCGCTGCCAGCCCTCCTACGCCTTGAGGGAATCAGCTTCCGGGGTAAGGGCTACCTCCGGCCGCGCGTGGTTGTGGGGAGGTGTCGCGCGTGGGTGGCTGCGAGCTGAGGGAGGCCGGCCGTACCCCAGTGGCGGAGGGGTGGGACCGAGACCGGGCCGTGCGTAGGGCTCCCGGCGCCTGAGGGCGGTGGGGTCTCTGTTTCTCTGCGGGGTGCAGCGCCGGAGATAGGGGCGGCGGGGATCCGGTCGGGTAGGGGCAGGCCTTCCCGCGCCAGGCGGTGTGGGACCAGCGGGGAAGATGGCGGACGCTTTTGGTGACGAGCTCTTCAGCGTGTTTGAGGAAGACCCGGCCGCCGCCGCCTCCGGCGCCAAGAAGAGCAAGGCGGGCGGCACCGAGGGCGCCAAGAAACCGGGGTGAGGGCTCGATGGGGGCCGGGGAAGTAAGGCTGAGGGTGCTCTGGCGGCTGAGGTTCGGGCCGCACCACTGAGCCCGCTTTCTGCTAGCTTGTTGGAGCTACTGGACCTCCTTGGGACCGGGGAGTCGGTGCAGCATAAAGGGACACTCTTTCCTGGGACCCCTGGCCCTGGAGCTGTAGCCAGCCCTGGTACAGTGGGCAATGGGGAATGCATGGACCTGGAAGCACGCTTAGCTGGGAAGTGTTTTGAAAACCCACAGTGATTTTTGTGTGTGGACTTCAGTGGGTCGTGCTCTAAGTGCAGTGTGATCACTGTTGTCTGTAGGACACCTGATTTCTTTTCTGAAAATACGTACATAAAAGAGGCAAACTTTAATTTTTTTTTTTACTATTTATGTTGCAGAAAACGGTTGGAGGAAAAACCTTCAGTAGCAGCAACAGGGAAGACCAAAAGGGAGGTTGAGGTTGATAGTACTAAAGATGTTGTTACAGGAAAGAAGCCAAAATTGGAAGATGTTGGATCAGAAGATGCTAAGTAAGTGCCTGGCTTAATGTGTAAGAAAAATCATAGTAACACATACTAGCGATATGCTAGTTGTGAATAGTCAATGTAAGTGGCTTTGCAGTGTTTTCATTTAAAGATGAATTTGCATATGAAGTTCATTTTCCATTTTATATATAAATGAGGTGATGCAATCTCTCTATGCTCTTCCACTTCTGGGCCTTCAGCTTGGTCCACAACAAAGTTATCTGACCTTGGCTGTTACAGCAGTAAGTGAGGAGTAAATGAGGAGCCTTGCTGCATACCCTCTTGATATTACCTATAAACATCAGGCCTTATCTCTGCTAGAAGCAGCGATTATGCCATTAATTTCTGAGAGCAAGTTAGTTAGAAGAGACTTAACAAAAAGTGAAATTACTGCACAGAAAGTTGGCTCAGTATTACCTCATACCAGGACAGGAAGCATGTAAGATCACATTTGCAGCCTATATTTGGAATCTTAAGTACAGACATGCTTTTAAATTTGAGCACAAATGGCAGCTATTTGATGTGGAGAGCGGGGTATGTATGGACGGCTGGGGAGATAAGGCAGCTGAAGGAAAGACAGAATGCTGTTTCTTCATGTCTCTCCCTGTCCCTTTCCAGAACTTAATGACAAGTGTTATGAGGAGTTTTAAAAACAGATTGAAGGGATAGAGTCGGCAGCTTAGTGTGTCTTACGAGATTCTTAGAAAGTTTATACTGGTTCAGAAAATGATTAGAAGAGTTCATGAAATGAAAATCCAGAGCTGCTAAATGCAGGTGTGTACCTCCTAGTTCAAGATGTAGAAGACTCTACTACAGAATTAAAACTATGTGATTGCTGTGTTCCTATACTTTTTTCTGGGTGTGATGTATTATTGACTTCTGTTAGACAAAATTCTGGTCTGGATTGTCACTTGGTTTTATGTGGCAATTTTTTCTTAAGTTCAGGGGGTAAGATATTCTGTGAGAAAGTCATGAGAAGACTTCTCGGAACACTGTAAACAAAGGGTAGATGTGAAGAAGCAAAACAGAACCAGAGTCAACATTTTAAGTCAGTTTCCGTTTTAGTGGTCTCAGTAGAACTTATATTTGCCCACAGTAGCTTACTAAGTATGTTAAAACTGTCAGAAAAACCCACCATGTTATGCAGTGAGACACTGCCATGTTCTTGTGGCCGTGAGAGAAGGGACTGTTAAAGAAAAGAGGGGTCTCGTCTTCAGGCAGCTGCTTGGGGTGCATCAGGTTGCTGTTGTATGGTGTCATGATTAATAGCAGGAATACAGGTTTTGAATTTTGCTTTGTTGCATATTGAAAAAAAGTCCCCATTTAATCAGAAAACTTGATGTGAACGAGTATGATCCAAGTTGCTGTTGTGTGGTGCAAGTTTTAAAGGTGTTAGAAATCCTAAAGCCAGTAGCTAAAGTAGATTTATACAGTAGCAGAATTCTAACACGTAAAAGTATTCATAATCCTGGTAGTAGTCTCTGCCAACTGTCCATTTCAAGTTTGTGCATCCTTTTTTGAATGTTGCAGTTAAAGTTGAGGTGCAGTTCGTTATTTTTGCATTTATAAAGAAAACATGATTTCGAAATACCTTTTGGCAATGCTAACTCGTGTAATTAATTCAGTCTGGCAGAGCTGATGCCTCAGGTGAAGGTGCAAGCCGTGGAGACTGTTGAAGGTTGTACACATGAGGTGAGTGCAGTGAAAAAACACATGAAAAATACAGGCTTGTTTCATAGAATTGCATGTAATGCTGCTAGCATAATAATATTGTTTATTGTGGTTGTACTTTTATCATAGAACCATAGAGTCATTTAGATTGGCAAAGATCTTTAGGGTCATTGAGTACAGCTGTAAACCTAACACTGCCAAGTCCACCACTCCAGCCTCCTTTCAGGTAATTGTAGAAAGGATAGGGTCTCCCCTCAGCCTCCTTTTCTCCAGACTAAACAATCCGAGTTCCCTCAGCAGCTCCTTGTAAGACTTGTGCTCTAGACCCCTCACCAGCTCTTCTCTGGACTCGCTCCAGCACCTCAATGTCTTTCTTGTAGTGAGGGGCCCAAAACTGAACAGTGTTTCAGGTGCAGCATCACCAGTGCCGAGTACAAGGGGATGATCATTTCCCTAGTCCTGCTCGTGACACTATTTCTGATACAAGCCAGGATACCATTGGCCTTCTTGGCCACCTGGGCACACTGCTGGCTCATACTCGGCCAGCAGTCAACCAGCACCCCCAGGTCCTTTTCCACTGGGCAGCTCTCCAGCCACTCTTCCCCCAGCCTGTGGCGCTGCAGGGGGTTGTTGTGACCCAAGTGCAGGACCCAGCACTTGGCCTTGTTGAACCTCATCCCATTGGCCTTGGCCCATTGATCCAGCCTGTCCAGATCCCTCTGCAAAGTCTTCCTACCCTCAAGCAGATATATTACTTCATATTTTTAAGGTAGAATAGGCCTGTAAAGAGATGAAGTCTGTATTTGGCATTGAGCTTGCACAAAATGCACTAGAAAAATCAATAGGATGTCTTACCAGAAGCAGTTTGAATTACACATGCAATAAAATGAGTGACCGTGAAAGCCTCAGTTATAATGTTGACAGGTTTCTATATTTGAAAGGTACCAAGCACATTCTGAGTACTGTTGTTTTGGAGGAATACCCCTTGCTTGTTAAAATAGCTTTGTGTTCATAGTGTGATCTAAGTGGGCATTGAAGTAGTTTGCTGTTCTGGCTCAAAAATTAAAGGCTTTCTTGTAAGGCTCATTACTGTTTTGGTAAAAAGGGAAAAAAAAAATGTGTAAAAGGAAAATAATGAAAACTGCCCATTTTCAAATTGTGTTAATAGACATAAATGCAATTTAAAATATGAAAAATCAGAAGTATTAATGCTGATGTATTTTTTTTTAAATTGTCCTTCATCCAGAGATGTCAGAGTTTCTGTGAGAATTAAATACGTAAATTTTAACTTCCTAATACTTTTATGCTCATTTTCTTTTCTGTGCTGTCATCCAGAAGTAGCTCAAATTAATTAGGGTCACATTCAAGGACCCTGCATGATTAGACCTTTGTAATGAAGGAATGGTATATACAGTTGATGATACAGTTTTTAAAGCCCACGAATCTGTACAGTCTTTGTTATCTTGAGATGTCTGATAGAAGTTTGCCATCCCACAGTAACTGAAGGGAGCTTAAATTTTTAGTACAAATGAGTGTTAGATGTTGGCCAGGAACAGGAACTTTACCTCTATAAATAGATTATCCTTGTAAAGGGAGTCTTAGCAATGTGAACTGAGTAATCGGTTCTAATATCCATTGGCCAGAAGCCCTAACTGTGTCTTGTCCTGAAGAGCTAATGTTCCAAGGCAGGTGAAGGTGAAGCAGAAATATTTCACACAAGGGAGTATCACATCGGTGAGAGAAGGAGTGTTGTTGGGGTGGGAGGATAGAGAGATTGGTTGAAAAACTTTTGAGAGGAAGGAAGGAAGCCTTGACACACAAGCTCAGAGAAACAGGATAGACATTCAAATTAGTTTTCATGCACTTTACATCTCCTGCCACGGCTCATCATAGCTTGCCATGTCACTGGAGTGGACACCAAGAATTCTGCAACTGTTTTATTTGAAATGTATTTTATAGGTTGCACTTCCAGCAGATGAAGAATTCACAGGTCTGAAACCAAGAACTGGAAAAGCTGCAAAAGTATGTCATAGATTGCTTTTTTTTTTCTTTTTTTTTTTTTGCATATGCTTAGGCGGTAGATGAAGGTAGAGGGGAAAAATGATGTACTTTGTCAGTAAGGCTTGGAAGAGTATCTTGAAAAGATGGCCTTTTGTAAGTATGATTGGTGTTTCTGTGTTTTAAATTTGGTAGAGCAAAATGATGTGGTTGAATGGGATGGATAGACTGTTGTGATTT